GTCGCAAAATCCTCCATAACCTCTGGGGGTATTGGAGTTTCCTTGTCTTCTAAATTATAAGGCTACGACGTTGACGTAAGTAGTCGTTTAAACAAAATTGGATCGACTGTTCAACGACGGATATAAAAATTATTTTGATACAAAAGTATTCTAACATATCTGACCGAATTTGAAAATAATTTCCAAATTTTAAAACGCACTTAGAAATATATTCTTACATATTATACCACATTGTGGGCCCCCTAATTTGTGTATATTCATTTCCTTTGGTAGAGTTGTATAGTATGTTATAATAGAATACCTGACCGAGTTTGAATAGTATAGGTTAATATAAAGGGGAGATTTGAGGCCATGTATTTATACAGTATATGATCAACAATTTCTACGCTTTAAAACGCTTGATTGATTGATTTGTTCAGTTACGTCGCACTAGAGCTGCACAATGGGCTATTGACGACGGTCTGGGAAACATCCCGGAGGATGATCCGAAGACATGCCATCACATTTTTGATCCTCCGCAGAGGGGATGGCACCCCCGCTTCGGTAGCCCGACGGCCTGCACGCGAAGTCGAGCACTATACAGAAGAACAGTTTAACGAGGACCCATACCGCCCACCCTCGGTCCCTACGCAGACTGATCCAAGTGGTCACCCACCCGCACACTGACCGCAGACAGTGATGTTTGACTTCGGTGATCTGCTGGGAACCGTGCCTTAACGATCAGTCCACTGCGGGACTAAAACGCAATCAGAAATATATGCATACATATTATGCATGATTGTGGGGGGCCCCATAATTTGCGTATACAAATTATTTCCGTTGATATAGTATATGATATAATAGAATACCTGACCGAGTTTGAATAGTATAGGTCAGTGATGCGCGTATCCCCAGGGGTATGGGAACAGTTTAGCGGTGGTACGCGAAATATCTTGCAACAAACGAAAATTTTATCTAAAAAGAAAGCTAGGCAAGGAAAATTTACGATGACGTATTTTTGTATTGTCTATTTTTTGCAGAGTTAATAATGAGTGGTGTCAACAGCTAGTTGTGATTTTGAACTTTAGTAAAAAATACATTCATTATTTTATGAGTGGTACACAGCGTTACGAAAAATTTAGAAAGGATACACAAAAGTCATCAGTTTGGGAAACACTGGTTCATAAAAGGGGAGATTAAGCATGTGGGTAGGGCAACCGAGGTAAAGGGGGGCACCAATGAAAAAAAATGTTTTTTTTCTAGAATTATTATTATTTTATTCATTTTAATTCGATCATAACTTCTGACACGCGTTCATGGTTTAAACTGAATTGCTATTGTGTTATATTTATTCTTAAATTTATTAGTTTATTTTATAAGAGTCATTGCACAGCGGACCCAATTTCGAGTTTACGGCTCCTAATATTCAACTCCGTAGCCTTGTAATTCTGAACACTATCCAGAAGACAGGGGAACTGCTAGATTAGTACCCAGATGTATTTTTTTTTTAAATGAGAACTTGGAGGACTTTGTGACCCTGACAGTTTTAACATGCACCAGTCACTATTTTATACACGGGTATTCTTCTGCCGGCTGGATTCAAACTCCCATTCTCATGAACAAGAGTTCATTGCCCTATCAACCAGGCTGTCCCGGCCAAATTTATTAGTTTATTTTATAAGAGTCATTGCACAGCGGACCCAATTTCGAGTTTACGGCTCCTAATATTCAACTCCGCAGCCTAGTAATTTTGAACCCAATCCAGAAGACAAGGGAACTGCTAGATTAGCACCCAGAGGTATTTATTTGTTATGAGAACTTGGAGGACTTCGTGACCCGACAGATTTAACATGCACCAGTCACTATTTTATACATGGGTATTCTTCTGCTGGCTGGATTCAAACTCCCATTCTCACGAACAAGAGTTCATTGCCCTATCAACCAGGCTGTTCCGGCCAAATTTATTAGTTTATTTTATAAGAGTCATTGCACAGCGGACCCAAATTCGAGTTTACGGCTACTAATATTCAACTCCGTAGCCTTGTAATTCTGAACCCAATCCAGAAGACAAGGCAACTGCTAGATTAGTACCCAGAGGTATTTATTTGTTATGAGGACTTTGTGACCCCGACAGATTTAACATGCACCAGTCACCATTTTATACATGGGTATTCTTCTGCCGGCTGGATTCAAACTCCCATTCTCACGAACACGAGTCCAACGCCCTATGAACCTGGCTATCCCGGCCAAATTTATTAGTTTATTTTATAACAGTCATTGCACAGCCGACCCAATTTCGAGTTTACGACTACTAATATTCAACTCCGTAGCCTAGTAATTTTGAACCCAATCCAGAAGACAAAGGAACTGCTAGATTAGCACCCAGAAGTATTTATTTTTCATGAGAACTTGGAGGACTTTGTGATCCTGACAGTTTTAACATGCACCAGTCACTATTTTATACACGGGTATTCTTCTACCTGCTGGATTCAAACTTCCATTCTCACGAACAAGAGTTCATTGCCCTATCAACCAGGCTGTCCCGGCCAAATTTATTAGTTTATTTTATAAGAGTCATTGCACAGCTGACCCAATTTCGAGTTTACGACAACTAATATTCATCTCCGTAGCCTTGTAATTCTGAACCCAATCCAGAAGACAAGGGAACTGCTAGATTAGTACCCAGAGGTATTTATTTGTTATGAGGACTTTGTGACCCCGACATATTTAACATGCACCAGTCACCATTTTACACACGGGTATTCTTCTGCCGGCTGGATTCAAACTCCCATTCTCACGAACAAGAGGTCATTGCCCTATCAACCAGGCTGTCCCGGCCAAATTTAATAGTTTATTTTATAAGAGTCATTGCACAGAGGACCCAAATTCGAGTTTACGACTACTTATTCAACTCCGTAGCCTTGTAATTCTGAACCCAATCCAGCTGCCCCTCGAGCAGGTGAGGGCCGTTATATTAATACTGTTTGTAAAAATAAAAAGAACATTTCGTAAGCTGATATTATTTAATTGATGTTTATATTGAAAATATTTCTTCATTATTTTTGCTTTCTTTTTAATTATTTTAAGTATATTTGTTAAATTTTAGTGCAAGAAAAAAAATTGTAATTATTTATGTAAATTTTTGGCTTATATTTTTAAGGATTTTTTAAAGGGTCTATTAAATATCAGAGAGAATAAATGTCATACGGGTTTAAAGTATCAGCTCTGTTTAAAGTATCAGTATCAGCTATCAATTAGCAATTAGTTTTAGATAATTACAATTGTAGAATAATTATCTTATTATAGAATGAAATGTTTTAAAAGACAAGTATCTGTTAATGTTTAACATTTAATCAACAAAAAAACAGAACGAATATTGAAATCTAACGAATTTATTATTTTTAATTACAGATAAAGTTTGTGACAGAAAAAAAAATTAAAGCCTGATAGATTTCAGAATTTTAGAAACACCTTCTATTTATACTATTACAATCAAATAGGTTTCGATGTCTTTCATCCCGGTCTCATTTGTGATTCAGCATATTTCGGTATCATTTATGTTTCGTTCTTACTTAATATTAATTTGTTTGCGACAGCTAATTTGTATACCTCTATTACTACATTTTCGAGGAGTTTAAAAATATAATATTGAGGATTTTAACTGAAATGAAATTTGCTTTTTTGTTATTGCCTCTTTTATTACTTCATCACCACACCCCCACGCAACTGTCTACTCTAAATAATGTTATATAGAATGAGATAGCAAAACAAACGTGTGTAGTTATTTAAATTCTTATTCAAAAGTATTAGTTAATTTTTTTTTTAACTGACAATTTCTGTCCTTTTTCAGATATTTTAAAGTGCTATTTAAAACTGCTGCATATCACACGAAAGCATTAAATATATCATTTGTACATTTTTAAAGTAAAATAAAAGGGAATTCTGATCCTTAGAAACAACGGTTATTAAATAGTCTGATGATCGAATGATGGGGTAAAAAAAAAACTTTTTTACCTTTTAAACTAAAAAATTGTTTATTTATTAGTAATTTGTTAATGCTCAAATTGCTTGAAAGATGATATGTTCCCTACTAATAACAACGAAGTTTTTTGTTTTATTTGGTCATTTATTTATATTTATTATGTCGGACAATGTAAAAAAGAAAATGCATTTTGCGCTTCTGAGGGCCCCAGCTGCGAATAAAACTTTAAAAAAAGAGGGGGGAAAGTAGGATCTGGGGACCCTTGTCATCTCGGGGCCCCAAGCTACAGCTTATACGTAAATCCGGCCTTGGAAGGCTGGCGTGTTCACATCCTGTCCGGGTCACCCATGTGGGGCGAGTTTTTATCGTCCATGTCAACCTTCATCTATAATCATTAAAAAAAAAATTACTAAAAATCATGAAATCCGTAGTAGCAATTGCCCCAAAAAATGAGCGACTACGAAATCAAGCGAATTGGTTTCCTTAAATGCGTGTTTCGTTTCGAGACTAGAGGTTGCTATAATAAATAATATCGAATAAAAGATATCGGATTCAGAAACTACGGAGAAACCAATAGCAATAACTGCCGAAAATTCAATAGAATTATTGCCTTAAAAAGTAAATACTCAAATGCACGATTCGAATTTTCCATATTGCTTGAAATATATTTAAAATGAAAATCAATAGCAGTAACAGCCGAAAATGCAATCGATTTAAGATACTATGGACGTAAATTAAGCTCACCAAAAAGTATTATATCTGAATGAATGATTCAAATATTACGTGTAAATTTCTGTAGTAAATAAAAGAAAATTTTCTTTTCAAAAGAAAAATCTTTCTGCAAGACCTGTGTAATGTCAAGATGCACTCTTTTTACTGGTATTTTGAGAATGTAAAGTGAGATGAGCAGCCAAACAAGAACACATTGAAAAGCCTGAATCAACTCTCCCAAATTTCTTAGCCATTTTATTACCTTTAGACCTTCAATTCCAACTTAAGTAGGAGCAGAAATTCAATCTTGTTAAAGAAAAACCCAAAATTATGTATTAAAATAAATTTATTGTTAATTTACAAACCGTGTTTGTGCATGAAAATAACAACTGAAAAAAACATCATAATTGTATAAATGAAGAATAGTTTTTCAAAATTTCAGCCACTATGATTTCCTCTATGTCTTTTCCCGCATTCATGTCCTCATCACTCAGAGCTATTTGTTTTGTTTCTTCTTTGGTGACAAACACTACTCGCTGTTTTCTAGTCTTTAACTCATTAGCGATGACCAACTGCAAAAAATTAAAATAACATTACTAATATGCTTGTAACAGCATTTAAAAAGATTTATTGAAAATATGCATTAAATTTTAAGTGTATGGTTGAGAATGCTAACATAAACAGGGTTGCCACAGAAAAAAATAATATAATAAGAACAAAAATTGATATAATAATGACTAAATGATGACTAAATAAGAACAAAAAGTTTTAAAAAATATGACTAACATTTTATTAAATGACTTCATTGTAATATACCATGATCCATTTAGTCAAGTTGATGGTTAATATGATAATTTTTAAATAAAGTTAGTGTTCTAGCGCTAAATTTTTTTAAAAATTAAGTGTTAGTGTGTGTTAATTAAGTGTTCTAGCACTAAATTTTTAGATAAAAAAATTAGTATATTTGCAGAAAATTAAATACTTTCAAAAACTAGAATTAATTCAGAAAAAAAATTTTTTGTTAAAAAAACAAACATACTCTTTCTAAAAAATTTTCCCTTTTATCAAAAATTGATTTAGCAAATATATACTGAAAAGTTATAACTAAAATTCAGTTAAATTCACGCATCATAATATTGCATTAAAAATAGGGTTCTTTAAAATCATGCGGAATTTCGTAGCAATAACTGTTGAAAAGGCTATTGAGAAACAAAATAGATTCACATTGGAATCTGTGCAAATTGAGCTCATCAAAAAGTGATGACTCAAATTTGCGAATCAAAATTTTTTCATTTTTTTAAGAAAAAAAAAATCATTATGTTCAGAAGCTACAGTGGGCCGCAGGTTGTCAACCCAATTTATGGTAAAAAAAAAAAACATGGCTGGAAGCACAGAAGTCTCCCAATAGTCTCCTTTTCTTGGAAATAGTTGCTTTTTTTAGACTTTTCAGGCAAAAAAAGTTGCCATAGTTACCTCAGGTCGAAAACAGTTGCAAATAGTCGCATTTTAGTTGCCTGTGGCAACCCTGCATAAACAGATGAAGAGAGGATATTTGAAAGAAAAATTATTTGGCCCAATAAGAGAAAATGATAGTCTATAAAAAACAAATATATAGTCTATGAAAAATACAAACATCTTATCAGGCAAATCCTGTCAAAAAGATCACCTTTGCAAGACATTAAGAGGTCAATCATTAGAGGAAGAGATGACCTGTAGTGCATTTGAAAAAGAAGAATACATATTGTGTTTGTCCCCTTTACATGCATGTTTTCTGTTCAGACTATTATGCGCCTCAATTGCTTTCTTGAAGACAACTTTACTTTCGACATTTTGTAATTGCTAGACAAAGAAGAACAAAAATGTTTGATTTTCCCCCCTCCCAATGAAGAAACATTTTCTCGTTATGCAAAGTTACAGAAGGGATGAAAAGTTACTTTATTTTTGAAATCAATTTTTGTTTTGGATCATGGGAACTTTAATGAAAAAGGTAAAATACTAGTTCTATTTAGCCTGAGGGAATGAATGTCACCGGAACAAACGTAAAGGGGGGTTATGGAATGACCTCAAATGAAATTACAAGCTGCTAAAAAAAATATTACAATTTTTAATGGACTTTTGAGTCTTAGATATGGAATATCTATTGCTTAATTATTTGCTATAAAATTAAATAAAACAACGAATATCTTTTCTGGTAGTTAGAATATAATACTGAATATTGTTTTGATGAATGTACATGACATTATTTTCTCACACACAACCTGCCTAGAATAAAAAAAGAAATGAGGCACAAATTGTTAGTTCCAGTAGTTTCTCTAGCAAAAATTTCCTTTTGAGGAAGTTTTTTAATTTTTTGTTTTGGTGATTTTGAGGGGAATTATAAATCGATTATGTCAACCTTCATCTATCAAAAGGTACCTCATGATTGAATCAAGTTAACATGTCTTATATACTAGTGAATTGGTATTTAATATTTATAGTGGTAGTTAAGCCACAATTTCAGGCAAAAAATGCTTAACATTTGAACTTGTAGTTCACAATTTAAACACGGATTATCTGCATGTTTGCAGTCACCCATTAATGATATACAGCAGAGGATATTCATAACACAATTAGTAAATTTTTTGTTAGATAGCGAGGCAGTTCTTGGACTTATTGCAGCAAAACTTCCATGAACATTGCAAACAAGTAAAAATCACTTTAATTTGAAAGAAAAAATAACGCACTGAACTCAGCAGCCACAAGAAATAACATAATTTGTGGAAAAACTGAAAGATGGGTCCTTCTTTGACCCCCCCAATAACTGATGAAATCTCTATTAAGAGAGTGCCAGATAACTGTTCTAATTATTCACAAAAAGGCAAATAAGAATGGAAAACTCATAAGCAGGCGTCCAGTTTTTTTAAGAATCAGAACTTATATGGGGTACCTCCGTGCGTCCACCCAGGGTTAAAAAAAGAAATTTCCTGGAGTTTTAGGCTTGCATTCTTCAATAAACCACACTTCTTACTCTATGTATTTTTTTATTATTGATAAGGATTTTAAAACAATAATATAAGTGCTCCTATTACAGAACAACCTGCACAAAAAATAGTTCAATGTTGTGAAATTTTACACATTCTAATAATTGGGGTTGGCATTTTGTCTGGAAGGACACTAGACTAAAATAATATAAACAAGAAGAAGCTGGACAAAATGGAAGAAACTAAAGAAGACAAATGCAAAAGTTTAGAAGTATCATAAGAATAGCTTAAATTTAAACAAATTAAAATTAGCATACCAGAAAGTAAAGTTTTTTCACATCTACAACTTTCTAACATATATATACATACAGTAGAGAACCTATTAACCAGGACCATTGCTATCCCAGATGTCTGAATTTCCCGGTTTTCTGGATCGGCCAAAAGTGCCCTTAATCAACATTTTATCAAACCCAAAATTCAAGGAAAAAGTGAAACACATTTTAAAATAAGAAAAAAAAAACGAAAAGATATCCCAAATTTAAAAAAAAAATGGTAGTAAAATATCATTTAAAATGATAAAAACTTTTGCAAGTTAAGACAAGAAAAACATGCTTAAAAAGTGCAAAATTCACATATTTATTTTTTGATAATAATTAAAATCCTCAAATGAACTAATATAAAACAAAATCAATAATTAAAAATCGCAATATGTTTCATGCCTAATTATACAGGGGGGGGGCGATAAAAGGAAAACTTATTAATCTAAATAAAAACAACACTTGAAAATTATCGAACGTAAACGATATTTAAAAAAGGCACTGACATAAATATTAAAACCTGGAACAAGGCAGAATATTATAAGATCAACAGAATTAAAAAATCAAAAAGACATAATCAAATTAAAAAAAGAAGCTTAAATTAATAAACAATCTTCTCCTTTTATTTTATTTTTAATTAAAAAGACCATTTTTAACGAAAGCAAATGTGATTCCACATCAAGAAAAACTTCCTAATGATACCGCATTTCTAAAAAAATCAGAATTCATTAAAAAAAATATACATATGGGTGATTCTCACGAAACATGACATTCATTGCCCCTTGCTCCAAGATCTAATACTATAATACTAAAAGAACATTTTTCTTAAAAAAATTTATAAATAGCATTGCTGTTAGCATTTTAAAATGACTCTGCACTAGCATTGACTGTTTTGTATACTTAAAAAATTAAATTGAATAGCAAAATGTCATTTTCCTGGCATGTCCCAAACAATATTTCCAATAATAACTAGCCTCAAAACCTCCCATACATTTTTCAAAATATAATTTTTTTTATCTTATCCTATGTAAGCATTTCTAGAATATACGCAGAGGGTATTGTTTACTAAAACTTCGTTTAAAATAATTTTTCCGTCAATAATTTGTTTGTCCCATGAAAATCTGTCATTTTCCTGGCTACTTTTATTTAGTGATTTATAACCAAAATAGATAGCGCCAGGAATCAATATCTTATGTTAATAGATTGATTAGATACCCTCCTATATGAACATGTCTTGTTGCATGAATAAAGAACTAATTTTCTGGCTCAAAATCTATTTCAAAAATTTTCTCAAGGTGAGTAGGTTTTTATGCTGTCATTTTCCTGGCTTCTTGAAATTATTAATAACAAAAACTACATAGATTTATCTGAGTTATTTTAAGAAATACTGCTGTTTTCTGCAGATTATAAACATCTTCGGCCAAAATATTAAATTAAGGTAAAGTTATATGCTATAAAATGGCGAATTTGTAATTATCCTGGCTTATGAATGCCAGGACATTGAAATGTTACCAGAAATTCTTTTTAACTGCTAATACTAAAAAGGGGGAAAGCAAATATTAACCTAATACCAAGTTTATGCATGATTGTAATATGCTTGGATGTAATCAAAGTTATTTATTTATCTAATGATTGATTATTATACACCATTTTATTCTGCACAGATGAGCAACAAATTTTTTTTTGTTTCCTTCTACAGTGGATAAAAAGAATTAATTTAAGCTATTTATGGCCCATCTAACATAAAGGCTTAAGTTGAGTTACTTACTATTAACTTAAAATGACTGCTTCTTAAACTTCTAAGGTAATATGTCATTTTCCTGGCATTCAAGATTTGGTGAATTTCCATTTTATTATTTTTTTTTCTTGAGCAAAAGTCAATAAACTACACTGCTGTCTATAAGACATTAATAAGTGTAGCTAAAGAAGTATACAAAAAAAATTTTCGATTATTTTGAAGACTTTAAATTTGAAGAAATTTTTTGGTCCGAATGTCATGTTTCGTGAGAATCACCCATATATTGTTTTGTTAACCGATGTCAAATAGATGAATATAACTAGTGATTAAAAAACGTTTTGTTCATAATAAATAATATGAAATAATAAAACAATCCATCATAATAAATAAAGGATAACAAAAAATTTATGACTAAAGTTGATTTAAAATAAATCTCACATGTCAATACTCTTAGCCAGAAGTTTCAAGTTCCTTAACTGGGACATTCATTGATAAAACATTTGTACAAAACAAACATTCAGAAAGTAAAACATTTGTCCCTTCCCTGCCCCCTCTTGATCTAATGATCTTCAAAGTCAGGGGAAGAATTGAAGTTTCTCTGGGCAAAGGAGAAGAATTCACCCCTTTCTCTCCAACTTCAAGGATGAGTCAAATTTACCATTTTTTTCATTATCGCTATACTTCAAAATAGCGGGAAAACCAAGCAAAATTCTTTCCGGTTTTCTGGATACTGGATAAATTGTTCTCTACTTTACATAGATAGATAGATATATTTGAGTTCAAAATGTAGAGAAAACATGGAAAAAATTACAGAACAATGAAATAGGAAGAAAAAAAATCCCAAAAAAAGGGGGGGAATTAATAAAAATCCAGAAAATANGTAGGTTTTTATGGTGTCATTTTCCTCGCTTCTTGAAATCATTAATAACATAAACTACATGGATTTATCTGAGTTATTTTAAGAAATACTGTTGTTTTCTGCAGATTATAAACGTCTTCGGCCAAAATATTAAATTAAGGTAAAGGTATATGCTATAAAATGGCGAATTTGTAATTATCCTGGCTTATGAATGCCAGGACATTGAATTGTTACCAGAAATTCTTTTTAACTGCTAATACTATAAAGGGGGAAAGCAAATATTAACCTAATACCAAGTTTATGCATGATTGTAATATGCTTGGATGTAATCAAAGTTATTTATTTATCTAATGATTGATTATTATACACCATTTTATTCTGCACAGATCAGCAACAAAAATTTTTTTGTTTCTTTCTACAGTGGATAAAAAGAATTAATTTAAGCTTAAGCTATTTATGGCCCATCTAACATAAAGGCTTAAGTTGAGTTACTTACTATTAACTTAAAATGACTGTTTCTTAAACTTCTAAGGTAATATGTCATTTTCCTGGCATTCAAGATTTGGTGAATTTCCATTTTATTATTTTTTTTCCTTGAGCAAAAGTCAATAAACTACACTGCTGTCTATAAGACATTAATAAGTGTAGCTAAAGAAGTATACAAAAAAAATTTTAGATTATTTTGAAGACTTTAAATTTGAAGAAATTTTTTGGTCCGAATTGTCATGTTTCGTGAGAATAACCTATATATTGTTTTGTTAATCAATGTCAAATAGATGAATATAACTAGTGATTAAAAAACGTTTCGTTCGTAATAAATAATATGAAATAATAAAACAATCCATCATAATAAATAAAGGATAACAAAAAATTTATGACTAAAGTGGATTTAAAATAAATCTCACATGTCAATACTCTTAGCCAGAAGTTTCAAGTTCCTTAACTGGGACATTCATTGATAAAACATTTGTACAAAACAAACATTCAGAAAGTAAAACATTTGTCCCTTCCCTGCCCCCTCTTGATCTAATGATCTTCAAAGTCAGGGGAAGAATTGAAGTTTCTCTGGGCAAAGGAGAAGAATTCACCCCTTTCTCTCCAACTTCAAGGATGAGTCAAATTTACCATTTTTTTCATTATCGCTATACTTCAAAATAGCGGGAAAACCAAGCAAAATTCTTTCCGGTTTTCTGGATACTGGATAAATTGTTCTCTACTTTACATAGATAGATAGATATATTTGAGTTCAAAATGTAGAGAAAACATGGAAAAAATTACAGAACAATGAAATAGGAAGAAAAAAAATCCCAAAAAAAGGGGGGGAATTAATAAAAATCCAGAAAATAAAAGATACAATCTTTTCATCAGCTCACATGATTATATTCGCAAAAGGAGTGCTTATCCTAATATTGTATCACTATAGCCAAAGCAAAATATATCAATACAAGAGTGTGAGGAGCACTCAAAAAATTATTTTGAAACAAATAGAATAGAACACATGAAGTCAAAATATCACATAAAAACAGAAAATAAAATGTAAAGAAAAAACCAGAACAAAACATAAAATAAAATCTCTGAAGGAATTCAAATGAACTTACATGAATGAGGAATTTTTCAAGAATGATTTTAAATATTTTCGAAACACGATTGCCAGATTACAAAATGTGAAAACAGAAGCACAAATTGAGGTAAAAGCGTAAATAGAGGAGTTTTGTTTTATAGTGCATTCTTACTGAAGTGCGTTTGATTTGGTAGTTACCAAGGATGGGCCCAAAAAATGGATGTGTGCAAGGTAATATTATACTGGATAAATTAAAGAAGTTGACAGTTAATAATTTTAGAAAATTAACTTCGATTTAAGAAATGGTTTTTTATTGATATTGTATTATATTTTGCTTTGGGTATATTGATACAATATTAGAAAGCTATCCCCTTTGTGGATATAATCGCATGAGCAAATGAAAAGATTATATCTTTTATTTTCTGGATTTTTCCCCTTTTTTCATTGTTCTGTAATTTTTTACATGTTTTCTTTTTGTCCTTCTTGTATTTATTTATTATGTTATATATATATATATACACACACTCACACAAACAAACATATACACTGTCACACATATATACAGGAAAAACCACCTCTATTTATGACCACTTTTAGTAGGCATGGAATTTTTTCTATAGAATATATGTTCAAGAAACCCTGAAGGAGAGACAATCAAAACCTCACTTCAGCGCACCTCTGCACCAAATGTGGAAAAATCCAACTAAGGAAACATGAAAAAATATCCCAACTAAACAAATCAAATAAGTAGATTAAACATATTCAAAATATTTACATGAGGTTCTTATAAAGAGAGTTTTTTTTTTGACGATTTCTGATAGAGATCTAATGTCTCATGTTGCAGTCAGAGGGAACTAAAGACGATGCTATCAACGATTTATTTTTAGAGATGAAACATAAAATTAGAAAAATCAAGTTACTTTTAGAAAAAACTAAACATCTCAAACAAACAAAACTCTTCACCCTTTTTAAAACTAATTCCTTTTTATAATAAAAAATTAAGCATAAAATATAATTGTTTATTTTTTGTTTATTCTTTATTTGTTTATAATTGTTTATTTTCTTTACATACAATTATATCAGTAGAGATCATTTTTATTGACTCTAAATTTAATTCATCTATCGGGTTTTCACGATGTCAACACGAGTGGCACTTCCGCACCAAAGAAATGTCAAAACCGTTTGCGAAAAATCATGCACATTTTGAAGTGAAAGGAGGAAACCCCTAAGAAGGACTTCCATTGACAACAATTTTATACTATGGAACAGAGAGTGGTCACTTCCGAGACTGTTACAGTGTGATGTCCCTTTTCTGGAAGGGTCGATTTCTCAGACACTTTGTAACAATCAAAATAAATAAACATCTCTTCATCTTCCCCTCTCTTAAAAAAAAAAACGAAAAACTTTTGACATGTTTTTTCCTTTTACAGCTTCTAGTGATTTATGCATTGAACCCATAAATGAACAGAAAAGGGAGAAAAGATCTATCAAGACCATGGAGTGACAGTTAGTGATCCTCTGGAATGCAGGAAAGGGTGGAGATTTATTTTCAAAAGAGGACAACTGAGTCCCCCTCCCCTTTCTTTCCAATGCAGCATTTCCTGTAACCTTTNATGGCGGGAAAACTAATCGAATTTCGTTTCGGTTTTCCGATTTCCGGATAACGGGTTCTGTACTGTAATAGAGGCATTTCCTGTAACCTTTTTATTCGAGTGTTAGGGAAAGAAGAAATACTGTGATAAAGGGTAAATGCAGCAAATGTTTACGTGGAGGGAGAGTCACTTACAGTCATGCAAGAAAAAATAAAGAGAACCCAATCAGCATGCCATGCCTTTATGCTTGATTGATAGCCAATGATGGGAGAGAAAATAAGAATTTATCACTTCCCCACCCTCAACTTGAATGACAAATAAGAAGGAAATGAATTTCTCTCCTCCACATCCACCTTAATGAATGACGAGAATTTCCCCTTCTTGCTTGAATCGTTCTAGTTCAAAATGGCAATTAATACTTTCATAACTGCCAAATTTTTTTTTTGTTTTCTATATTCTAAGTAATAATTATTTTTTCTGAATATTTTGTTTTTGATTGATTATATATCATTCTAATACTAAAACAATATTGCCCGAAAAATAATGTTTACTTATTTTTTGCTTCTTAGATTCAGATAGTTTACTAGATCGTTTTAAGCTTTGTTAACTTTGGGGTCTATTATACAGAAAAATCTAATATCCGGACTTCAAGAAGTCCCACTGATTCCGGATATGCGTCTTTCCTCTGTACTAGTTCTATACAGAAATTTTAAAAATCTTTATAATTATGTTATTTGAGTCGGCACTCATAATACTTAACAGTATTTGAATTGCCATTTGTAGTTTTGAATTCAATATGTGTGTTTTTTTATTTCATTAGAATTAAAGAATTTTTTTTGATCATGCTATTATAATAGTACTTTATTTTATTATAAAATTAGATTGCACTGTATTCATTTAAGTAAAATATGACAGTTCTTCTAATTTCTTAAAAAAATTCCTAAAATTCATCAAAATTTCAAATCATTGTTTTTCAAGTTTTGATTGAAAATTATATATAAAAATAGCTTGAAAATGACTACTTTTATTTAAACTAGATTGCAATTACAAATAAATTTAATAATTGATAAATCTTTTTGGATTTATTTCACTATGGGAGAAACTTAGCTAAGAATATTGAAACATACACATTCCTACTGTTTGTCTAAGATAGGTACTCTTCCAGAAATAATTCAATGTTTTTGTTAAAAACAGAACTGCAACAAATTAAAGAACTTACAACTTCTGCAAACATTAAATAACTTACCTTGTGCCCATATCTTTCTAGGGCTTTCCTAGCTTTCTTTAGAAGAATCGTCGAGTCAGTCTCTAACTAAGAAAGAAACAGAAAATAAATAAGAATCAAATACACTTTTATTATAGATCAAAATTGTTAAATTTTTTATTAGTAATTAGTAGTAGGAACCCTTTTTTAGTAGACTTTTTAAGATGATAAAATGCATTTCGGCAAATTTAAGATGAATTCACATTTAAAGAACAAGAAAAATAAAAATCTAAAACTTTCAATATATCTTAAAAGTTAATATGATAAAACAATTTTAAAAAAATATTAGGTTCAAGTTCCATTAACAATTAACAGAACAGAATAAGCACAAAAATAAACTTGTTATGAGAAATGTAAAACAGATAATAAGGAAATCTCGATGCAATGTAAAACCCAAATGGTCTAAAACAGTTTTCCATTGTTGTCAGAGCATTTTTATTGGCTAAAAATTACATGGTAGTATGCATTTTTTACACATTTATTTATTTTTTTTGTCGTCATCAGCATTAAATTAATAAAAGTCATAAAGGTATTGTTTTGCGATAAAAAAATTTTGTGTCCGTAATTTAAAGGAAAAATATGAACTATTTATTTTTTTATTCTACTCTGCTATTATTAAATTTTAAACATCTAAAGATTCATAATCTGCATTTTCAAAATAACATTAAAAAAACAAAAATGGGACAAACCCAGTTTTGACTGATTACATACATCATTACAAATGCCAGTGGAGACCTACACTTCANAATTAATCTAATGTTCATTATAAGAGTTGTTTCTTTAGCAGGGTGCGTAGCCAAATTTTTCAACAAAAGATAAGCACCTTTTAAGCACTTTTCCAAGCACTCAAAAAATATTTGTAAGCACTTTGAAAAAATATCCTAATTGGACAGTGTTGGCAAGTTTTTGACAATTGATGGTTTTATCCGATTTTATTTGCTTTCCAGTGACGAAGATGATGGTGCGTCACCAATGATGAAATTAACAAGAGTAATGAAATTTTCTATCGCTAACAGAGAAAAAAAATTTGACATTGTTTAGTTAGTCCCTGTAATCATTTTTCGATTCTATTACAGACGGCAGAAAATGAAGTTTGAAATTGAACATCTCTTGCAAAATGCAGCAGGGTTGCACATAAGAGTTAAAAATCCTTACCACTGAATCCAGCTAAGTATACCCAACTGCGGACCTGCAAGCATTTCCTCAAACATGTCAAATAAATCGCGCTTTCATACACTACAGACCGATGGTACGCCGAAATAGATTGGGGTTGAATTAAAAGTGAAAACGTTGAATAGGACAATATCTTTTTGCTTAATTTGTGGCAAAAACCAACATGGTAAAGAAAAATATCCCATTTCAGAAAAGGGAAAATTAAGCAGTTTTTAAAAACACCCAAGGAAAAAAATACCTATAAGGGCTTTTAAAAAATGAAAATCGAAAATAAGCACCTTTAAGTACTTTTTAAAAATGCTATAAACAATATTAACTGAATAATGAAATTATTTTTCATTATTCTATTCATAAACAATATAATTCCGATGAAAAGACAAATCTTTCAAAAATTTCAGCAGGAAAAGAAAACTATTTGGTGGATAATAGTTTAACAAATTTGTCTCGCGTAAGACCATTCCAAAAGAGTGTTTTGGGCCTGGTTTTGTTCTTACCCTTAAAAGAGCAAATTTTTTTTAAATGATCATTGGAGATGTTTTCATTATAGAATAGATTGCAAGATATAGACGAAAGCTATAACAGATATAGCCTCATTCAGGAAATGAAACGTATTTCATCAAAACCACACGAAATTGTCATTGCAACAAGTTATGTGCAACATGTTGATTTGACACACAGAACCATATTTGTTAAACAGGGTGCGTAGCCAAATTTTATAACAAAAAATAAGCACCTTTTAAGTACTTTTAAAGCGCACAAAAATATTTTTAAGTACTATATACATCAACAAAATACAAAATAATTTTTAAAGACTTTACATGATCATGATAAAATAACTAGTTTCTGACAAAGAACTCTTTCTCCTGATTATATTAGCTATTATAAAATGATCAAGAGATTTTTCGGTTCGATATCAGAGGGTGAAAAATGAAGTCTGAAATTGAGAATATCTTGCAAAATGCAGCTGAGTTGCGAGTGTAAGAATCTCACCGAACCCAGCTCAATCGACGAACATGCGAACTAAGTATTTCATCAAACATGTAAAATGATTGGTACTTTCATACATAATAGACCTCCGGTACGACGAAATAAATTGTGATCAAATTAATTGCAAAAATGCTGAATAGAACAATGTGAAAAGTACGCTTTTGCATTATATGTGGTAAAAATCGACATGGTAAAGAGAAAAAAAATCATTTTCGAAAAGGGAAAATTAAGTACTTTTTAAAAATACTCAATGAAAAAAACACCTTTAAGAGCTTTTAAATAACGAAAATTGAAAATAAGTACCCTTAAGCACTTTTTAAAAACGCTAAGCACCATGTTATAACAACATACCTCTAAATCAGAGGTCGCCAAAGTGGCCTATTTAGACCCCCAGGGGTCTATTTACCATAAGCGGGGGTCGATCCGAATCGGAAGGGTCGATTGGTCGAAGAATTATCAGTATTTTTCAGATATGTGACAATTAGAAATAAAAGAAGAAGACTTGGAACTATATACAGGTAATCTTCAAAAATTGAGCGACGATTTTAAACTGCGTTTTGTTGATTTGGAAAACATTGACATCCCTGATTGGATTATTGTGCCATTTTCTGCTCAAATTGAAAACGTGGACATCAACCTGCAAGATGAGCTTGCTGAATTATTATGGGGATTTGAAGCAAAGACGCTTTTTAAAAATTTAACAATAAGCAAATTTTGGACAAATATAAATATAATGCAAAAATATGTAAGACTTTACGAAATAGCTCAGCCATTTATGATAGCATTTCCAAGTTCCTATATGGTTGAAGCCGGTTTCAGTCACGTAAATTCAATCTTAACTAAGAACAGAAATAAATTAAATGTGGAGTTTCGAGGGGATTTAAGATTAAAATTGACCAATTTTGAACCCAATATAACGAACCTTGCAGAAAAAAAAACACCAGGCACACCCATGTCATTGATTAAGAAGCAATAAATCCGTAGTTACTTTACTTATTATTTCTACTTACTTATAATTACTTATTATTTCATAAATATTAAGGTATTTATATTTCAACATTAATATATTTTTCATAAAACTATTGTTACACTATGTACTATTAATTTAATAAATGTTCAAAATCATAAAATAAATGTACAAACACAGTATCTAATAGAGTTTTATTTTAATTAACAGAAAATTACTTTTATGGGGGTCGATGGAGAATTCGAAAAATTAGGTAGGGGTCGATGATCAAAGAAGTTTGGCAACCCCTGCTCTAAATTCAAAATGTGTTAAAGAAAAATTAATTATGTTCACTATGAGATCTTAATAGAAATGTTTGGATGTGAGAATAAAGCTTTTTAGCATTTATATCTTAAGTGAAGAAAAAAAACTTTTATATTAAGAAACAATAATTATTGTGAGCAGCAGACAGTAAAAGTTAAACACCTGTTGCAACCTAAGCATGGATTATTTTGGCTGAGAGGAGAATGTGCTGTGAACAAAAAAGGAATATACCTTGAAGGAAATGACAAAAGCATCTGGAATCCAGTAGCGTACTAAAGGTTGCAACATTTTTGGAACCACTCTTAAACTTAGGTTGAGACCTTCATCTGAACAGATTTTGTGGATGGACTACAAAATAAAATACAAAAAATGAAGGATTGGCAGGATTAAAATCACATAATCGCTATTTAACATCACAAATCCACTAGGTTTTGAAAAAAAATCATGAATTTTTTTTTAAAAAAAAAATAAAAATTTATTCTTTTTATTTAAATCAGATTTTTTTTGATATTTACTAATCAAAACTTTTAAAATATATTAATAGTACTTAGTACAGTTAAACCTGTTTATCTCAAACCTCTTTATCTCATAAACCTCTATAGCTCAAAATTTTTTCTTTCAAAACCTCGAATTTCCAATAATCGAGCACAAATACCCAAACAGCATAACAAACAAAGAAGGTTAGAAGTCAAAAATCTTTAAAAACATTATTTTAAGTGTTAAAGGTATGCTAAGTACTTTTTTAAACGTAAATAGATATATGTGGTGTAATTAATTGACAGAAATGCCTGTATTTTTCTGCAAAAAGTAATCAAAGCACTTTTAATTGAATTTCTTAATTAAATTAAATTTTTTAAAGTACCTGCATAACTTGAAACCTCTTCATCTCAAATTTTTTGCCTTTCCTGTGAGATTCGAGATAAACAGATCCTACTGTATTATTTAAAAACAATATTAGAATTTAAGTACTTAATATTTATAAATTAAACTGAGTAAAACTATTAGATAATATTACAAACTAATCACTAAATCAATTAGGGATGTGCTCAGACACAAAAAATTAACATGAATTTCTTAGAAAAACTATCTTATAAAAAATAAGTTATAATCATGAAATTTTTATGTTAAATATTATTACATCATAACCAATCGGAAAACAATTTATTTAATAAAAACTAATTATAAGTTCAAATTAAATGGATTAAATTGTGGGTGACCGATGTAAATCACACGAAAGCAAAAAACGATTACTCATTTAATTGAGCTCTGTGACTTTGTTTGCAATTTAAATGTAAATCTGACTTAATTTTGAAGCTGACATTTGAATCGAAATTCATATGCAGTTCTTAACTTGTAAAATATGATATATAATCAATTTGAAAGTTTTTACTTCAGTGTCAGACATAAATTTTTCCAAATGAATGTAAATTTTAGTTAATGATAATCATTATAATGACTGAAAATTATTTTAATTTTAATCTTAATATTATAAACATTATTTTTCAATTAAATAGCTTCTATAAATTTAAATTTGTCTAATATGTCCTTCTGGAATGAATGAATCAATGTGTTTCATAACATTTTCCATCTTGTAAAAGTTAGTTGAAAAATCAATCATTATAATTTCAACTGTGTAACATATATTAACAACAATGTAAATAAAAATCATATTTAACCAATATTTCTTTAAATGGAATCATGTAAAAAAAAAGCTGTTGCTAATTTTTTTTACACAATAAAAAAAAATCGATTGAAAAAAATGTCACAGCACATTAAAAGGAAAAAAACAAACAAACCATTTTTTACTATATTATTAGCCTATAACAGTTTCTTCTGGGAAAAAAGATTGCATAGGAAAAATGATAATTTAATAGCTTTATTTATTGCCAGCATAAAATTAAATAATCGTTTTGTACAGCTCTTACAATCTAATCTATTTGATGTTTCAAAGCATACCATATTAACCAATATAACTTTTACTTGTTTTTAGTGGCATAGCTAGCGGTGAACAAGAGTATATGTCCCCAATTGTAGCACTAGAGATGCGCCAAATTTATGAAGAAAAAAATTCATATTAATTCTAGAACAAATTTCAATCACTTTTTAATACAACTTCTCCAGTTTCATCTGTCAATTACAGGCCCAATAACTGCTAACAATTTTTATCCCATTTACCTAAAAACTAAATAGGAAGTGTGTTATTGTTGTAGTTTGCTATGCTAGTAGGTTTATTTTTTTTTAAAAAGTATTTCTTTCTTTACTCAAATAAATAAATAAAAAATAAATAAGCAAAAAATAAATAACTACAGAATGTTCTGAATTTTTCTCTAAATACATAAATTTTTCAGGATCTAAGCAAAATGATTGATTTAAAATGTTCTAAATGAAGTTAAATTGTTACAAAAAAAATTAAAACTGAGATGCTTACCTCAGATAAATAAATTAAGAAAATATAATAAAACTTCATTGATCAATTTTAAGTTTTAATATAAATAACTTAAAGTACAGCATTGTTAAACAAATTTTAGTAGGTTACTGAGGATGTTATTGTAAATATGTAATTATTGTAAAAATGGAATTGTAAATACATTATTGTAAATTAACCTAAAGGAATAATTAGATGGTTTCTACTTCATTTAATTTTATAAAGAAAAAGAGGAATAAGAGATGGAAATAAATAAAAATAGTTGTAATGAAAAGATCAGACGTAAATATAATTAATTATTGATTTACAATAAAAATATTTATTACTATCAAAATCTTGCTTTAAACAGAAAAAATAATTTAATTATGCTAAATCCTAGTGACACAGTACGATTAATTATGTATTTTGGTGTCGCACATAAAATATCAAAAGTGTATTTTGAGAATTTTTTTAAAATCAAAATGTGAAATGTTTCTACACATTTGTGCAAGATAACCTGTTTTGTTACATTCCAGTTTGATTATTATTTTTTCCATTATTTGTATAAAATGTTTTTTTTAAAAAAAACTGTACTTTGTAAGAGATTCACTTATCACGGTTAAAAATTTCAAATGACGTAACCTTTCATTTAACAGCCTATAACTTATTGAAAACTGTAATTTATTATTTCAATTCATTATTTTGAAATCTTCAGATTTTCACATTGGAAATGATCCCTTGTTCACCTAATATTAAGTTTAAAATTTTGGTCATCCAAACTTGAAACCTGTACCAGTACAATGCAGAGCAAAAAAACAAAGTTTCGTTTTCCTTCTTTCTAATGAACAAATATAAATAAATTTTTAAATATAAATAATATAAATATACACAAAGGTTATTCATCATTTAACATGTTTTCCATGCATTGCTTGGTTTTTGCCAGCTTTTTAGGGTAAAAGGAGAGACAGCTTTAGAAATAACATCTCTGGAATGTAAGCAAAATATTTACGAACTTCTGACATTGTGATTAATACACAATTCGAATTTTAAATTAGAAATCAAATATTCGTAAAAGAATCTTTTTTTTTTGTAAATAAAATATGTTACAAATGGTGAAAATGAAATCCAGAAAATTAGCATCAATTGTAACAAATTTGCTGTTAGCGATTCAAGAAAATGAGTGATTGGTTGGCTTTGCTGAGAAAAAATAATTAAATGGATGGGAGTACAAAAGCTTTCAGAAAAAGAGTGTAACTTAAAATTGATTATTAAATTATAATCAATTATTTTTTGGAGAATTTTATAAAGTTAAAAATACTGAAAAATTTTGTTAAAAGAAAAAAAAATATCCCCAAAGCATAGGAACAAACTTGAACAGTAAATGAATTCAGCCCACAGACTAGAAGATAAAAAACAGAAAAACCCTCTTTTTACGAACAGAAGCAAATATACTAACCCCTTCTTCCACCTCCATCATAATTTTTGATTTTCTTAAACTGCTTAGTCCCATAATCTCCAAGGAGATCAAAGATTTCTCCATTCATTTAGCAACATGAGAAAGTTTCATATGGCATTCTAGTTTAGCAGGGTAATAATGGAGAGAATTTTAATGAAGTATTGCTAAGTTGATGATATTTCAGCTGTTTGACGATAAATTTCTATCTAAATAAAATGGATATAACGGACTGTAAAATAATTTAAATTAAGAAAAAAAAATTCCAGGTTTTATTAAAAATTCCCAGATTTTTCTAGGTTTTTATCTAAATTTCCCTGATTTTTTCCAGTATAAATAATTCTCTGATAATTCCAGGTTTTCCAGGTGGGTAGCTACCCTGATATATAAATATATATATACACAAAATTTATTAATTATTAGACAGAGAACGGTTATCGAATTGGACACAAAATCGACGTGCTCCTCAATAAAACCTAGGGAAAATCTTGCAAAGTAAATCTGCAAAATGTTTCATTTTAGGGAATAAGGGAAAACTTACTAATTGTAATTGGTTTATCAAATAGGTGGCGCAATTCTCACAAAAAGCAAAAGTGAAAATATCTTACTTTTAATGAATGCATACTTGAACCCAAAATAGATTAGAGGACAGGATGCGAATTTAAAAGTGTGAGAAAGCGATACGTTTTGAATAAGTTAAGCAAAGGATTTACAGAAAAGGAATAACACAAAAAGATTAATTCAAGATTTTTGTTACATACCATGTCTTTTTGTGGAATGTAAAAATCTGAGACAGCAGCCGCCATGTAAAGGATGACATCTTTCCCCATGAATCGCAACACTTGAGCAGCTATATACAGCATGTGCAAATAAGATGACAGCGTAGAAAATTCTACCATTAGAATCATCTTCTCAACTTTATGGTATTTCTTAAAGTCCTCCACAACAGGAATTAATTCTTCACAGATCCTACCCTGTACTGAATACACATGTATTTAATTAATGTAGAAGCATTCAAAAATGCTAAAGACACTAAGAAAAATTAAATGGATAAGAATTAAATAGATAAAGAACAACTACACACAACATATGTCTCATTCAAATATATGGACAGTACAACAAAATTAATGATTTAATAATGCACATACTGATTACAAAATAAATAAAATCAAGACCATATTTTTTCTGGACCACAAAATATTCCAAATGCATAAAACAACAAAACATTCCGATCTACTTTGTATTCTGATTCAAGGTAATTTTTTTAATATAAATATATAGTTACTAAAAGTTTCTTAGTAAATAATTTAAATAGCTAAGAACAGGGTATCTGCTACATTTTAGATTTTTAAATCCATGACTTTCCATGAATAATTCCAAGCATTTTTCATGACTAACCGAAACTATTTTCTCCGACAAAAATACAACAATAAATTTAAAAAAGCATTATAACATTCATTGAAATGATAGGTATAGCCTAAACTGTTATATTCTGCATCTTCATATTTATTGATTTTAAAATTAAAAAACATAGTAAAAAAAGAGTTGAGGCAATAAAATAGCTAAAAAAAATAAATAAATAAAAAAGCAAATAACTAAATACAATCAGATATATGCAGTAAACCTGCTTTATTTCTTCTTAAAAGTAAGTGTAATATAAAAAGCCTACACTAGAATTTCAAATTGATAAAATTAAAATAAAATATAATAAGTACATAAAAAAATTCCAAAATTATGGAAGTTTAAAAGATAATTCGCACTCGAAATGATGTTTCTTTTATTTTTTGAAAGAACACCATAATTTTTAAATAACAGGATAAAAACATTTTATATCTTAATAAAATATGACTATGAGTGGGGATTTTGTTACAAATTCAGATCTTCCGAACATCGGAGGACTGTAAAATTGGGGGTGGGGGGAATTCCATTTTAAAAATTCGATTTTTCAGTCACCTAAATCCATGATCTTTTTAAAAAGATTGTCAAAATCATGACAAATTTTGTTCCATAGCAAAATCCATGACTTTCCAGGTGCGCAGATACCCTGTACGAAACATTTTGTTAGAAAGACGCACCTGATATTGCTGGAGAACCATCGGGCCCTTCATACAAAGAACTGGATTCCAAAATCTTGGAGAGCGATACTTTACGGAGGAATGGCTCTACAGATTTAGATCGATGCATAAAAATAACGGCCCATCCTGATCTCAAAAAATACCTCAAAAAAAAAGAAGATGAGTAAAGGATAAAGTCTCTTATCACAACACAAAAAAAAGATGAGTTAAGTCTCTTATCACAACACAAAAAAAAGCTTTCTTTGATATCTTTGAATGATCTCTGATACAAAATGATATACAAGATGCCCCATAAAAGTTGTTCTAGGGCACATGATAAGACATCACTTAAGGGTCGCTTTCTTTGCTTGCTTTTGAATGGGTACTTTTATTTATTTAAATTATTTTAATTTTATATTTTCTAATAAGTATTGTTAAAAATAGCATTCAAATAGGTTTAGTATTAGCTGTTTTATTGTAATTCAATGATGCAGCTACTAAACAGAAAAAACAAAACAAAAAACAAATCATTTAATTATGATAAAACAGCTTTTTGTGAACTTATTTTAATTCAATTTTCGACAATAATTGATAGAAAACATGAAAATAAAGTATTTTAGACAAATATAAATGCAGGCTCAAGGCACATCCATAATAGGAAAGTGCCTGTGTAAAATGAATTTCCAAGCATGAATTCTTATGAAGTGCCCTTTGCTGCAACACTTATTGGACACCCTATACATGTATGCCCTGTGGCAGAATTTTTTTGGGCTTTCTGCAACTCTCTAATACTTGTGTCTTTCTGCAAGATACTTTTAAAAATAACAATTATACATGTTACTAATTTAAAGTAACAAAAACGTCAACTTAAGAAAACAACTTTTTTGGTAAAAATAGCATAACATAACTTTTTTAATCGAATATGCAATATTTTTTTTAAAAATTCTAATATTATGGCCAAATTCTAATATTCTCTCATTTAGTAGAGGGAAAACATACTTATGATTTCCTTTTTCGCATTTTGCAAATCATTAATTCATTCAATCATTAAAAAAAAGAATTGCCAAATCTGCAGCAGTAACTAGCGAAAAAAGATCGAAGGCGAAACCATGTCGATCGCACTCTTCGAAAAGGGGTTACTGAACGCACGCTTTGATTTCGAGATTCAGTTGTTGAAATAAACTATATCAAATTAAAAATACATGACTTAAAAAACTATTTGGAAATTAATAGCAATAACTGTATAAAAAATAGAACTCAAATTTCTGCAGGAAAGAAAACCAAAATTTTTTACTTCCCACAGGAAAAGTCTTTCTGCAAGAAGTGGGTACCACTCTGCGACAATGTCGCCACGATTCTGCCAAGGGGCATGCATGTGCATACAATAAAGCAGAATAGAGAAGGACATGTATAAAATTAAGTAGGAATATGAGCTCAGGTTCAGGAATTCCCACAGGAAAAGTCTTTCTGCAAGAAGTGGGTACCACTCTGCGACAATGTCGCCACGATTCTGCCAAGGGGCATGCATGTGCATACAATAAAGCAGAATAGAGAAGGACATGCATAAAATTAAGTAGGAATATGAGCTCAGGTTCAGGAATTCCCACAGGAAAAGTCTTTCTGCAAGAAGTGGGTACCGCTCTGCGACAATGTCGTCACGATTCTGCCAAGGGGGATGCATGTGCATACAATAAAGCAGAATAGAGAAGGACATGTATAAATTTAAGTAGGAATATGAGCTCAGGTTTAGGAATTCCCACAGGAAAAGTCTTTCTGCAAGAAGTGGGTACCGCTGTGCGACAATGTCGCCACGATTCTGCCAAGGGGCATGTATGTGCATACAATAAAGCAGAATAGAGAAGGACATGTATAAAATTAAGTAGGAACATGAGCTCAGGTATTAGAGCAAGTGACACTGAGAACATATATAAAAAGAAATGACATCCTGACTTGGTTTATTATAAAAAAAAAAGTTTATTTCTGAGCATTTTCTTTAAACTACAACAGTAAAATGTATAGAAATAACAATGATAAAAATACTCATGGTTAGAAAGTAATTTGGAAATAGTGCTTAAAAATTTTCTAAATAAATGAAAAAAAGAACTAACATTGGACACTATTAAGTTTTGTTCTTTTTTTAAAAAAAAACAAAACAAACATAACAATAAAACGTTAACGATAGAACGTTAAGAAATTTTCGATTATATTTCAAATTTTTCTGAGGGGGAATAAATAAATCAATATGGTTTCCTATTTACTTAAACCTTACAAAATTTTCTTGATTTTTTCAAACTATCAAGATTACAATATATCTCGATTCATGAAATTCCGTCACGTAAATAGTGAAAGAAAGGATTACTATGAAAGAAATCTCCTTCTACTCGCTTAATATTAAATATTTTTCTCTAATTAGACCCCACAGGTGAATAGTAACCTCCCCCCATTAAATTCAGCCTCTACAGAGGCAAAATAATAGTTTATTATTTTTGACACACTACGGCTGGGCTATTGGTGATGGCCTGGGAAACATCCCTGAAGACATTTGACCCTGACTTGCTGAGCCTGATGACTTTAGGATGAAGTTAATCATTTCAATGCCAAACAGTTAAAAAAGGACTGATACCCTATTATATATTTAAAAATAAAAAAATCCAATACAACAATAACTCCCTTTATTACGATAATGTTTTGTGGTCCCAACAAACTTTCATATGAATTAATGTCCTGCTCCCTTTAATATTCTGATATTCTCTGAAGCAATAAACCCCTGTAAAATGATTTTTTTCTCCAAATTCCAACCTTATTTTCTCCATTTATTATTGGTTTTCAAATACAGTCGAACTCGTTTATAACGAGCACAAAGGGACCGTAACATGTACTCGTTAAATCCGAGTGCTCGTAATAAACGGGTCCTTAAGGCAGACGTGCAACCAGAAGAGGGGGGGGGCTTGGGAGGTCAAATGATTGAGTTGACTTAAACTTTAATTAATACTTACTTACTTTAATTACATTAATTAATTTAATTAAATATTTATCTTAATTTAGTGACAACTAACCCCCCCCAAACCAGCAAAAAATTTCTAGTTGCGCTAAAGGAAAGGAAATATAAACGGAAAGAAAAATAAAGGAAAAGATTCTTACCAAAACATTTATTTTTTTCATTAATCTACATATTTAAAATAGTTAGTCAGCTTACTTTTAACTCGCGCATTTCATATCATTTTGAAAAAAAAGATATGACAGAAAGACTAGAAAGATGAGAAAAAAGATTGCCAGACAGAAAAATATTGCTCGCTAAAACCGGGTCTTGCTCGTTAAAAGCGACTTCTGTTCCATAGACTTAACATTGATCCAACCAAATATTCTCGTTTCCCTCGTTAAATCCGAGTTCTCGTTAAATCCGAGCTCGTTATAAACGAGTTCGACTGTAATGTAAAAAAAAAACTTATTTTATCATTTTTTCCATCATTTCTGACAAGAGAAGACTCGCAGCAGACCATCCCAAGACTGTTCCATTCTTAGAATTGCCTCCCTTATCTCTTAAGAAGTCACAGAAGTCACTCTTAAGAAGTCACAGAAAGAATTTTTTGTTGTAGAGTGTGAGGGGAGCACTATTCACAAACCAAAATCATTTTTGCGCTTTGGCTTCAATATATACTTTGTTGTTTGGCTTAAGAGTGAAAAAAATAAACAAACAAACAAAAATATAAGATTATTTTCAATAAAAATGGTTTTCAAGTATGTTCACGATCTTATTTTCTGAATTTATTACAATTGTTTTGAGTATTTTTAACCCAATTAACAATTAGCAAATTATTCTTCCCCCAACAGTTTACTTATAATTAATACATATTTAACAATTAAATTGAAAAAAGTATTGTGTCCCCAAAGTATGTATCCCTATACGACAAAGTTTTAAAATTTTATAAGATGAATTAAAACATTGTTTAATACAAAATGACACATTTTGTTACAGTAATAGATAGCTTTATTACAGTAAAAGGCTAAGTAAAAGCAAAAACAGGTGTGGGAGGGAGTGCTCTGACAGAGAATTGTAATTTGCTTATTTTTGTTGCAAAAAAAAAGATTAAAAAACACACACACACACTTATCTTATGTAGTAGTTGAATTACCCCTTAACAATAGGTTTAAAAAAAGAAAGAAGAAGTTGTAAGAAAGAAAAAAGAAAAACTGAGTAAAAAGCAAAAAAAAAAAGGATACTCCGCTGAGGCAGCCCCTCTATTCCCTGCACTGAAGTTATCTACGAAACGCACCGTACTGTGCTCTAAGGGAACAGTGGTACCTCCAGACTAAAATGAAATAACAATCAAAATAAGATGACAATAATAAATAGAATGACAATCACTTTAATTTTCTCCTTAGCAGAGTTGCCACAGATAATAGCCAAAAATAAGAACAAAAATATAACTAAAATTTAGTTAATGACTTAATTGTCATATACCATGATCCATTTTGTCAAGTTGGTGGCAAATGTGATAATTTTTATAAACGTTAATATATATATATATATATACATAAAAAATTGTTTCTTTTTCTTCTTTTTTAAAATCATGCGGAATTTCGTAGCAATATTCATTGAAAAGGCGATCAAGAAATGAAATAGACTTACAATGGAATCTGTGCAGCTTGATCAATTTAAAAGTGAAGACTCAAATTTGCAATCCAAAATTTTCAAAATTTTTTACGAAAAAAAAGTTCAGTGTGTTCAAAACTATCTTGCGAGGTGCAGATTTTCCACCCAATTTATGCAGCTTAAAAAAAAAAAAAATAGCTAGGTGTACAGAAAAGTCTCNTATATATATACAGTGAAACCTCCTGTTATGGACACTCCTGCAAAACGGACGCCTCTCAATACGGACATATTTTTAATTCCCCGGGAATCTTCTATGAATAAACCATTATGCACTTTCTCCGCAAAGCGGACACTCCCGTAACCGGACGCGGACAGTCATTTTGGTCCTGAAACGTTGTTTTCTATCTCTACAACCGAACACTACTTTTTCTAAATTTGAAAAAGGAACTATTTTTGCTTTAAATTGCAAGTTAAAAAAAATGCAACTTTTCACCATTTTTAAAGCATGTAAATAAAATTTTTTGCCTTATCCATAACTAAAAATATTGTTAGGCTATTTCACCACTGAAAAATCAATTTTTCTCCTATCACTTTGCCTTATCTTTGTAAAGAAAGGAGAGAAAATGGTACTGCACTCCTGAAATAATTCTGACATCGGCACCTTTTGATCTTTTCACCTGGACCACACAGGTTATGACACCCCTGGAGTTGAAATGACATCTCTCAATGCTTCTTCCCCATTGAAAATTTCTTTAATTTTCTTATCAATTTGAAGATTGTATTTAAAACAACTGGGGTAAAAAAAAGAGAACAGAAGTATAATCTTTGAGGTGTTTATATAAATGAAACATTTATTCAGACACTTGATAACTGATCAGTTGTGAATAATCAACTCCATAGGTCCACCTGACTTACAGGTATGCATAACTTTTTTTCTGTGAATCAATGGTTTTTTTTCAAGAAGGTATTGAACCATGTTCCCTATCAAATGATAAGTAGGTGTAAGGGGATGTAAACCTAATGCATAATTGAAACGGACTGAGGACAGAAAGCTCCTATTCGGTATCATATGTCTAACTTGAGCATCTATGCTAATAGGAAAATTATATTTATTTATCTGTAGCTACACCCATAATTATTTATTTATATCAAACTTCTATATATATTCTTTTTTATCTTTCTTATAGTTTAAATAAATATTCTTGTAGATATTTATAGTATCCTTGTAGATATTATTTAATTATTTCTACTTCTTTGAAAATATTCTAAAAACAATTTACGGTGTTAAATTTCGTTATTAGGGTACACTTCCCGTAAACGGACAACTCTCATAAACGGACAAATTTTTCAGTCCCATGAATGTCCGCTTAACGGAGGTTTCACTGTATATATATATATATATACATAAAAAATTGTTTCTTTTTCTTCTTTTTTAAAATCATGCGGAATTTCGTAGCAATATTCATTGAAAAGGCGATCAAGAAATGAAATAGACTTACAATGGAATCTGTGCAGCTTGATCAATTTAAAAGTGAAGACTCAAATTTGCAATCCAAAATTTTCAAAATTTTTTACGAAAAAAAAGTTCAGTGTGTTCAGAAATTATCTTGCGAGGTGCAGATTTTCCACCCAATTTATGCAGCTAAAAAAAAAAATAGCTAGTACAGAAAAGTCTCTCAATAGTCTCTTTTTCCTGAAAATAGTCGCCTTTTCAGGCAAAAAAAGTTGTCATAGTCGCCTCATGTTAAAAATAGTTGCAAATGGTTGTATTTTAGTCACCTGTGGCAATCCTGCCTTAGATTCCCTTAATAAAAACTTTTCTTCAATCATGGAGTGGAAAAATTTTCAATGCTCTGTTGTTCCCTGACATTAGGCTAAAGTTCTGGCGATTTTACTACATATTTATGCATGTTTCTAAATTTCAGATTTTAACTACACATTTTTATAATAAAAAGAAACATTCAAAAAAATAATAAGTCACGCAGAAGATTTCTATATTTAATTCTATATATATTTAACAAATTTATTTTTAAAAAACATTTTAATGATTCTTGTCTTTCAAATTAAAATTTTTTCCTTGTTTTTTTCTTCATATTTTTAACTTACTTTTATATACATAAGATTTAAAACTTATATAAAAATTGCAAGAATACTTAATCAGAAGAATAATACTCTGAAGACAAATTCATATGTCATTATAACTGTATTTAATTCATTCTATTCTTTAAATTAATAATAAATTCTTAGTAATTATATTAAAAAATAATTTAATTTGAAAAAGTTATTGGGTGCCCTGCGGCAGAATTTTTTTGGGCTTTCTGTGACAAAACTCTCTAGCACTCGTATCTTTCTGCAAGATACCTTCAATAATAACAAATATATGTTACTAACTAAATTTAAAGTAACAAAAACGCTGTGTTTACAAAAAAAAAACCTATTCCAATAAAATAGCATTTAATTTTTAAATGAATATGTAATATTTTTTTTTAATTCTAATATAATGGGCGAGATTCTCACATTTTACTAAACAAGAAAACACACTAATTATTTCCTTTTCACATTTTGTAATCATCATATCGAAAAGAAAAAAAAAGGTGTAATCCGTAACAGTGACTACTGGAAAAAAGATAGACGCGAAACCACGCGAATTAAATATACAGTGTGGATCAACGAGAATATCGGTGTGAAACAAGCGTGTCAAAGAATGACTTCTGGGATCCACAATTCGAATTTCGCATGCCGTAATATTATCGGTATATTTCATTAATTCACGAGAATATAAATAAGAACTAAGCAATGAAAGACATCGGGATTTCGAAAAAACAAACAAAAATTCGGAGCAATAACTGTCTTAATGAACGATTGAAATACCTCATGGATTAAAGAAAAGAAATTTTTTACCTCATTATTCTATATTTTTCATTCTTATCAATACGAGTAGAAAAATCCCAATAATTTTTTCCCCCTCGGATGCGCGAAAAAGGCATCTTTTAATTATAATTTTAGAGATAAAAAATTTCTACAGAAAACCATAATTCTTTACTACTTCTGCAAAACCAAAATTCTTTACTTCTTAAAAGAAAATTCTTTCTGAAAGAACTCTGTAATATTCTACAACAATGTTGCCGCACTTCTGCCATGGGGATTGGGTGCATATTAAATACAAAATTCTTTACACAAAAAAAAACACATGAAAAAGCAACATTTAGAAACTTACTGTAATTAAAACAACTTTGTTCCCTTTAGAAATATGATAGTTGCAGAAACGTGTCAACTGCATTTTAACTTCAAGCAGTTCATCAGGAGGAGGATTTTCATCATAAAACTTCTTCCAATCTTCATCACACATGATGACACAACCTTTTGTTAAAAGTAAACAATCAATAACATGTTTGCACTTAACTGGTACAATAGAAAAACATACGAGTCTTTTGTGATTTATTTTTGTTGAAAACTGATAGGAAATTGGCCAGGTTAACCATAAAAGATTTTCATCTCCATGTGACACATACGTCGATGAGTTCCGTCAAAAAGAAGACAATCTTTTTTTAATAAGCCAACCTAATTTTTGGTTTACGACTACTAATGTTCAACTAGCAGGGTTGGGGTTTTAGATGTCCTAAACTGATTTTGGATAGGAAACTAGGCTCTTAAAATGTCCAAAACCTTGAACTTTGGTAAAAAGTCTATATGCGTAACCAATGCACACATAATAATTACATATATCAATAAATATATGATATTTTCTATACAATTTACTTTAACTTATTAAAGGAAAATAATATAATAGGAAAAGGTTTACAATTTTTGAAGCTCTACAATTCATTGAACAACAAAAGTGAATACCTTATCCTTTATATATAAATATGCTTTTAATACCTATAAGTTATGTTTTCGCAAACAAAATAAATAATGCAAAATTAAAATTAGTAATAAATTTGTTTAAAAATTAACCTTTTATTTTTCACAATATTTTTTTAAAATTTTTTCTTTATAATTTCTGGATCACAGGATGATCCAGAAAAAGACACCAATTTAAAAAAATTGTTTTTAAATATGAATATATTAGTTTAAATTGGAAATACAAAATAACTGAAAAATGTATTACATAACAGTTTTGAAGGGCATAGCATCAGATTCAGTTACTGACACGGGTGATGCATCACCCCTATGCTAAAAAAATTGCAAGCACTTCATTACTTAGCTTATTTATTAAACCCTAAATATAAAGGCTTGTCTGATGTGCAAAAAGAAAGTGCTCGGTCATATTTAGCTGACAAATTTCCTGAGTGCATTTCTCTTTTGATTGCCTATGAAGCTGAAGTGACACCATTACTTCACAGAAGCTGGAAGAACCATTGACAGGGTGGAGGGCGATTGAAAAATCAATATCATTTGGGGAATATTGCAAAAACGTTTTTAAATTCATCACTCTTCTACTCTCATGCCCAGCGTCAATGAAAAGGATGTTTTTGGAGTAATTCACTCAAAACTTAGAAACCGTCTTGATGTGAATATAGCAGCTAAATTAGTTATGTGCTATTGAATGTTAAGAGGACCGATTGAACTTGATTAATCTTCTCCTTTGTTTAATGTTCAAATTGAAGAGTCAATCAATATTAATAAAAATATTATACTTTTAAAAACAGATATTCTGTAGTAGATTTAATTATCCATATGTTATTAGTTCTATGTTTATTTTACCTTTTAAATATTGCTTAGACAAAATTGTGACATAATTTGAGTACGAGGGTTTTGGACAGGACGGTTTAATCCGTGGATTAATCCATTCTGTCCTAAACTTTGTCAACCCTGCACCATAGCCTTGTAATTTTGATTCCAATCCAGAAGACAAGGGAGCTCTTTGATCAGTATCCCCAAAGGTCTTAATTTGTTATGGGAACATGGAGGACTTTGTGACCCAACATATTCAACGAGCACCAGTCACCATCTGCTACACGGAGAGGCTTTAGCCGCCGGGGATCGAACCCACGATCCCCTCTATATGGACCCAGTGCCTTATCAACTAGGCTATCACGGTCCAAGAAGACTAGTTTGTCACAAAGCTCAAATACCATAGTCTTTTCTGGCATTTTCAGAGGGGATAGTCCCATATCGTGATCTGTTGTGCCAACTACAATCGCTAAAGTACCAAATAGATTTTAAACTTGCAAATTAAAAAAAACAAACAATAAAACACGTAGATGTTTGTAGGAGGTGGCTACGCATTATACATTTCGAGTTGGTCACTTTCAGCAGTGTTTTCACTACAGCGCGAGAATCTCGCATATTTTTTTCTTTGCTCGCATTAAAAAATGATTACCGCGAGAAATTCGCGCATTCTATAAATCAATTTCAAAATTCGCGAATTTCTTGCATTTTGGAAAAAGCTTCGAATTATGCCATTTAGAAAAAAATCCGTTTCACTTTTCTTCCTAGATCTTTCATTATTTTCATCATCTGCCCCATTATCTAGCTTCCCTATTTACCAGTATTATTTAGAACCTTTTCGAACAACAGAACACAACCACGGAACCCCTTTCAGAGCACATTTCTCTACAATCACATGTTCACCGTAGGTAAGGTTTCTTCATGTAAGACGTTCAAATTTTTTATGCACTTATGTAAGATGGACAAATACCTTGTAAAGGCAAAATCTTCTATGATGATGCACCAAAAATATTCAATGCTTTAAAAAATAGAAGACGTTAAAAATTTATTATAATCAAAGAAATAAATTTTTTTTAAAGAGTTTTAGTGTTTTTTTAGTTTTTAGAAATCTCACTTAACTTTTTGAAATCTCACCCTGCTTTTGAGAAAGGGTGAGAAATTCTCACCCATTTTTTTTCTATGATGAAAACGCTGCTTTCAGTGATGTTTTCGTTAGTTTCTCGCAGGTCGCTGCCTGGAAGTTGCCAAGACCTTGCGATTACTCTGCCACTGATCATGAAACAGAAATTTCCCCAGTTCGGAATTATAACCTTATACAGTTGAACATCAATAGCGTTTCTACCAAAAAGCGGGTGGGCTGTTAAAAAGAGTTTGTAAAATAAAACTTGTTGATCATTTTGGTGCAGATATTGATACAGAGTTCTTTCTCATTCAGTATAATAATAGAAAAAAACACTCATAAAAACTCATAAAACACTCATGGACTCATAAAAAAATATTGAAAAATGTGGTGATTTTTAATGAAGCCAAAGATGGATAAGAAGAAAATTTTACAAAAACAAAGCTCAGTTGATTATTCCAATTTCTATCAACTGTTAAACAAAAATATTTTTTAACCATATGCTGTGATGAAATCAAAAAATTCCACTTATTCATTCTGCAATAGTAAATAAGACCTCAGATAATAATGTGGAATGATAAAAATATAAGGATATTCCACTTTTATAACGGAGATATTTTCGTAGCATGATCTGAGGCACGAATTACAATCGCCAAGGTGCCAAATGGATTTTAAACTTGGAAACATTTTTTGAAAGAAAAAAATTTTCATGTAGACGCTACGAGTTTTATTGAGAAGTAGCCAAGACTTTGCGATTATTCTGCTACTGATCACACTGCGGAAATCTTCCCTTCATCATAAGTGTTGCAGAATGATTCAGTGGCGAATGGGTGCATTAAATAAAGATACCATATTTAATAACAAACAAATTTAATAAACAATATGGTTATGCTATAGGGCTCTTTAATAGCCATCCATTTTTACCCACTGCCTGTCACATAAGTGATTACAGAATAATTGTGAGCGATTAGAACGCCCTCTTTTGGTCAGAAATTTTTAACAATAAGTACAATTAGCCATGAAGTTTTTCCAGAAGTTCTCAGCCATTAAAAAAAAATAATAGTAATATGCTAACAAGACAACATTTTTTTTCCAAAGTAAATAAATTTGCTGAATAAAACAGAGATCAAGTGAAAAAGTTAAGATTTTTTTCTTAACCTAACTATTGATTTAAATGAATAATTATTTTATTTTTACAGAATAGTGAATAATTACGGAAGTTTAAACAAATGTTGCAATTTTTTCTAAAATTCAGTTTAATAAAATTAATGAAGACAACAGCATTTTATCAATGATATTGTTAAATATAATCTATTCAATACAAAGAAGTTTCCCGTTTAAGGTTGCTGGGAGAAATCAGCAGGAGGTAGATTACATGGAAAAAAATGTAAAGGCTAAATTAGATTATTAATTTGCTATTGGGCTTCATTTTTTAATAAAAAGGAAAGCAATAAATACATTTTTTGTTAATAAGACTATTAAAATATGGTGAAAATTACTATTATGATGACAAGTCTCTGGTCTTCTTTCGGTTTTCCTTCCTCCTTTTTGTTTACAATAATAACACCAGAGCAATGTTGCCAGATTTTAAGATTAAAAAACAGCGAATGGGACTCCCATTATGGGAGCTCCAAAAGTAGCGGGACCGTTCCTACTGAATGCAAAACATTTGCGTACGCAAATTTGGAGATACAAATAAGATTCTGATTGGTCAAACATATTGACACGTGTGAAATTCGCCAATCGGGAACTGAAAACTATTGCTTAGGTATAATACTTACGCTTTTATTGTATCTAGTGCGAATAACCGTTTAAAGTCTTTGTTGATTTGCTATTAGTTAAATTCGTAGTCTTTCGAATGCTATGAACTATGATGACAGTCAGCAAAAAAGAAAAAGATATCACCCTGAATAACTTTCGTTCTAATGATCGTCAATCTTAATGGTTCCTGGGGGTGACCTCAAATATGTTAATTAATTAGTGTTAACTATTAATTAAGTTACGAAATCAGACACAAAAACGTACTTTCTCTGAATAAACAAGCATTTTTTTTACATATTTGGATTTTTCGTCTTCAAAATATAGGGGGTAGCCGCAATCTGGGAAATGTGGTCCCCATAATTTGGTCAGGAGAGCGATTCAAAGTTTGGACCCTTTAATATTAATTTCGCTTTTTGCGTTTTCAGTCATATTTTAAGAACTAATGAAGCAATTCAAACCCACTCATAAAACTCATTTACCCAAAGATAATTTCATGAAAAGAATAATTTTTATTAATTATTTATTACTTTTTATTATTTAATTAAAATCTAAAGTTTCAACTGTTTTTATTTATTAGAAGATGAAAAAAATTAAAATTAATTATTTTAAAAAAATAATTTGGCGACAATGAAGAAATGATTAAATGGGGCGATTAATATTAAAATGTGATAAACTTACGAGGAACTTAACTTAGCGCGCGTAGCGAAAATTTCATTCATAGTTTTTCGCTAATAATCGTATGCAAATCACTTTATTTTTATTTTTTTAAAGCTATAAAATACGATGTTTCTTTTTTAATCGATCGTCTAAAATTCTATTTGCAATTTAGTAAGGTTCCCGCAGTGGACTGATCGTTAAGACACGGTTCCCAGCAGATCACCGAAGTCAAGCATCACTGGCTGTGGTCAGTGTGCGGGTGGGTGACCACTTGGATCAGTCTGCGTAGGGACCGAGGGTGTGCGGTATTGGTCCTCGTTAAACTGTGCTACCGTAAAGTGCTCGACTTCGCGCGCAGGTCGTCGGGCTACCGAAGCGGGGGTGCCATCCCCTCCGCAGAGGATCAAAATTGTGAGGATTCGTGAGAAGCTCATCATCAGGGATGTTTCCCAGACCGTCGCCAATAGCCCATTGTGCAGCTCTAGTGCGACGTAAATTAACAACAACAACAAAGATTTAGTAAGGAAATTTGAATAAAACATCCTATTGATTAAAAAACATTTTATTCAACGAATATCGAGTTTTATAAAAGCATGCTTCTGATAGAATATGATTATACACCAGATTGTGCTTATTTAATGTGATTATTTTTTAGTTTTTTCTTCTCAATAACTGATACAATTTCAATAATATGCATACGTATGAATAAAATGCATATTAGAAATAAAATATTTATCAATTTCTTGAATATATTTTTTATAAATATTAATAAAAATGCGTAGTAAACATATTTAAGCATATCTCACATCATCGCAAATTTCTCAACATCTTATGTATCGTCTTAATGTTAGAAGTAATTTTTTAATCACCTGTCCGGAAGTGTTTCGCTGAACTATTTTACCAACTATTTAATTAAATTTCAAGATTTTTAAAAATCTTATTCTTTACCCTACTACGTTTATTATTTCTTCATTCAATCATACTAATCAATTTTTTAGTACTTTAATTTAGGTTTTCTTTAAAGTGAAGTTCCTTTTTTAATTATAGTCAAGTTTTTTTAAAAAGAATTATTGTCTGCTAGCTAAGAATAAAATCTTGTTAAGAAATTAAAAACATTTCGCTGCTTACAATTATTTAATGCAAAACAGCTGATTATTTACTAAGCATACTATTTTTTTCGAAAAAAGAATATAAATCATTAATAGTTTTTTTTTTTTTTTTGGATTTTTTTGTTTCTTGTGACTTCAACATAGATTATCTAAAATAATGTTGATGCTTTAGAAGTCACTACAAAGAGGATAAAGATAACGAGCATAAAAAGCTGTGGAATACGTAGCCAAAATTTAAGCGTCTTGAAATATCTCAGCATCTTAAATGTCGTCTTAACATCTTAGTTGTGAAATTAAAGTTTTAATTATCTGACCACGCGTGATTCACTAATTATTTCATTATATCTTTTACTCTTTCTTTATGATTACATGTAGATTTTTTTCCGTATAATATGCTAAACTATTTTGTTTAATTTTTTTCTTCAGTAAATTTCCTAAAATATTATTGTAATATAATTTGTTATCAGGAGAAATGCCTTATTTTGTTAAGCAGGAAATACTAAAAATTGAAATTTGTAAGATTCCGAAGCCGTGCCAATTTTAGAACCATCTGATTTTTAAAAAAAAATTCAATAAAAAATACGCAATTTCCGAACTTATTTTGATTAAAAAAAATTTAAAAAAAAAAAAGAAAAAAAAAAGAAAGAAAAAAACGTGGCAAGAAGGCTAACATTTACTTTTTACAGAAACTGTGAAAACCAATTTTTGCTATATTTCGTCAAAAGAGGATAAGAATGATATTGCTCCAAGGGACCTACTCACTAATTTCGCAATTTCCAGAACGAAATCTGTTTGATCGAAACATATTTCTTTGAAAATTAAAACGAGAAAACAATTAATTTTATTATTTATCTAAACTTATTCCATTTATTTAATGATAGCGGCATCAAGGTTAAGGATATGTGATGGAAGCCCCGTTTACTATTATACTATAAATGTATTAAATCAGGTAACTTGGATATTTTATTTTAAGCAAATTATTTAATAATTTTAAGCAAATAAGGGTGTAAAAATAAACTCGATCAAAATACTCCGAAAGTATACCCTAAAATATATGTAGAATAAACTTTGGAATCGATATATAAAAAATACCTTTTCAAAATAATAAAGATAGATTAAAATTAATAACATAAATGGTTAGATAGACTCAAAAAGTTTCATGACCCTTGTCAATGAACTTCCACCTGTGCCCCCTTCGTCATACGGAGAATATCAAATCGATAGCCAATTTCACGCCAGGTAGAGGCAAGCATGTCCTCATCCATAGAGGCTATTGCCGTTGTAATTCTGACTTTTAGGTCATCAATGTTCGACAAGATCCTCCTGTAAACATTGCCCTTTATAAATCCCCAAAGAAAAAAGTCCAGCGGCAATATATCAGGTGATCTGGGTGGCCAAGGAATTGGACCTCCTCGCCCAATCCATCTTCCTGGAAAATGGTCATTCAAAGAACTACGAATGATGATAGCCCAATGAGGTGGTGCACCATCTTGTTGCAAAAAGATATGTGATTGAAGCTCTTCTACTTGTGGAAATACGAAGTTTTCCAACATGT